AACAGGGACCCCTGAGGGGACAGGGGTGATGCTGGAGGACACGGGGACAGCGAACTGGCACCACTGAGGGGACACTGGGGACAGCAAACGGGGACCTCCCAGGGGACAGGGAGGACATGGGGACAGCGAACGGGGACCCCCGAGGGGACAGGGGCCATGCTGGAGGACATGGGGACAGCGAAGACGAACAGGGACCCCTGAGGGGACAGGGGTGACATGGCGGCAGCAAACAGGGATCCCTGAGGGGACAGGGGCCATGCTGGAGGACATGGGGGCAGCAGGAAGAAGCTGGAGGAGACGGCCCTGCCGCGGGGAGCTATGAGGGGAGAGTGGAACCCCACCAAGCACCCTGCAGAGAGAAATAAATAATGGCAATAAATAATGGGAATAAACCCCCTGCAGGCCAGGAAGGTGAGGGGTGTTGTGCTCAGCAAAGCACGTAGAAGTGGTTCACAGCATTTAAGAGCAGCTGAAAATTGACTTATGATTTCGTTATTTTAAGCAGCTGCTTCAAAGCTGAATCACAACTTTTGCACAACTGGAGTCTTGTGGGGACAGCACGCTCTGGAGCCACACGGTGTGTGCAGGGTGATAAAACTGTTTGAATTCCTTTGTCAGTAAAACTCTGTCATCATGAAGTCATCATTTATCTAAGGAGAATAAAAAAAGCTGAGCCCAGGGGTGTCCAGCAGGTCTCACACACACAGTGATGCCACATCCACCCTTCTCTTCACACTGGGTTTAATGAAGATTAGGCACTAAATGTTTTCCAAGAATTATATTGGTTAAATCACAGTGTTGTATTTGCCAGTACACTTTTTTTTTTTTTGTTTCGTTCTAAAGAATCAGGAAAGGGTTAAAATATACCAAAATTACAGGCAATGAATATGCTTAAATTTAACCAAAGGTTGTACATATTTCTGGATGGCTCAACCCACACTTGAAGAAACCTGTCTGTACATTTTTCTGGGTTCATTACAGCCTCCCTCAAATGACCCTTCCCCTGTCATATTTCATTAAGGTGAAAACTTCAGTTCAACCAAGAGGATGACTCAAGTAAAATGCTGCAGGTGCCCAACACTTGCATCTCCCAATCAGGAAAAAATCAAAATACTCCCTAAAACCTATCCAGAGAATCATTTAAATCAGATTTCTCCTCAACAGTTGAAGAAACTGAAGCTGTGTAAGCCCCACTAACAGTTTATAGTTTGATTTAAAAGATACTCAGTACTTCACTCTCTTAAATTATTTTGGTGATTCTGGGGAAAAGCTGTTGGTCAGAAAGCCCAACTTAATATAAATAACACAAGACTCCAGACAGATTACAGGAATAGCTACAATTTCCCAAAATACACCAATACAGAATCAATTTCTCCTGTAACAGAATGAACACAGCATGAAATATATATTTTACCCTTAAACAGAACTTTATTCAACCAAATCCAAGATTATTCCAAAATTATCTCTTGACATTGGCTTAGAGAATTATTTTTGCCATTTTTCCCCATTCAAAATCCCCTACATATTGCTTAGGAAAAAAAAAATCTTTGAAATATTATTTTAAAAAGTTTTTTTTTTTCTGGAAAAACAGGGAGAAAGTGAGAATGGAATTATTTTTTTTTTCCTTGAATATTCCTTTTTAACACCTCCAACAAAACAAATGGAATAGTGAGAAGTTACAAGAACACTCTGCTCAACTTTTACACAAAACTGAGAACTCAGGAGTGTGACTTGGACAGGGGCAACTCGAGCTGGCACAGCCCCAGCTGGGACTGGCAAAGCAGAGGTTTAAAATTGGCTTCAATTCTCCTCTGCTCTCCACTCAGAGCTTAGAAAACCAAGTCCAAATTCTCTTTGAGTGAAGCTGAGATAATTTGTGTGAAGGTTGTGGCTCCAAGCCCTGGCAGAGCAGGAACCTGGAGGGGACGAGCGTGTCCCAGCTCCCCACGGGGCTGCAGCTGGAGAGCAGCAGGATCTTTTACTTCTAGAAAAGTTTGTTGCCAGCCAAAAGTTTCTTCCAACGTGTCCATGAGTGGCTTTCAAGATCCAAATAACCTGGAGGATAAAAAAAAAAAATTAAACAAAAGGAGGTGAGAAACAGCCACACCAGTGCAAGGCTGATTTACTTGGTGGGTTTCCACCCCACCCCAAAATGAAAAACATCCCCAAATTTAAACCCAGGTGATTTTTGTTTTGAGTAACACCCAAAACACAACGTTCAGCATGAGGCTGAATGGCTCAGGTGCTGGCACAGGTGGTTTTCATGCACTACAGACGCTCACATTAGCATAAAAACCCCCATGAGATCAACCCATATTTGAAAATCGAAATAAAGAAGTGAAAAAGAATTGTGGAAAAATCGAGTGGGAGAGACAGATGTGAAAAGAGATGTATGTGCAAGAAAAGTGCCAATAAGTGAGAAGATGCTGCACAGGGTTACTCACACAATCATGCAGAACATCATGAAGATATTCCACAGGGCAATGAAGATTCGGAAATACCTGAGACTCAGCAAGAACTCTCTGATATTGTCACCTAGAATCCAAGAGGAGAAGCTTTTGATACGAAAAACACACCTGAAAAGTCACATTTTCAGCTCTGCCTGAAAATCACAAGCAACTCTGAGAGGGGGAAAAAAAAAATTAAAAAACACAACAAAAAGTTTGGATTGAAATTTGAGGTTGTAGGTGAAGGATGGATGCTCTGTTTGGTGCAACTTTGTAAGGAGATGTGGGAAAATTACCAAAAAATTATAAAAAGGGGTCACACTGTGAAAAAGGGAAGACCAGAAGAGGTTTTCTGGGATTTTTAACCAGCAAACAGAGCTACAAGGGAGCAACACAGGTAGATCCACGTGGAAATGGCAATCAGGGAGTGAGCAGAGCGTTACCTCTATAGCACAGGTCAGAAATGCTGAAAGAAATGTGCTTTTTGTATACTTCTCGTTTCAGTTTACAATTAATAAACCAGTTATTCCAGCCCCACAGCAATTCACATCCAACAAAAAGAGGTGGAAAAGTTGTGTTTTGGCCAAGGATTTCCTCCAGAAAATCCCATTCCTGTGCGTGTGCCGTGCCCGTCTCCCGCATCCCCTCCGTTACCGGTCGTGGGTTCCCTCTGCTCCTCTCCGAATCCCTCCGTGTCCCTCCTCCTCCTGCGGGGCACAGGGGTCGTGTCAGGCAGGTGAACCCCAAAAAAACCCTCCCCGTTCCCCTGCCCGCCCTTCCCCGGTCGCTCACAGCCTGAAGTTGAGCACGGCACCGGCGTTCACCAGCAGCGTCCTGCGGGAGAGACGGGGATGGAGAGGGGTAAGGAGAGGGGATGGGGAAAAAGGGTTGGGGAAGGGGAATGAGGATGGAGAAGGAGGGATTGGGGATGGTGGAAGGGGAACGAGGAAAGAGAAAAACGAAAGGGGCGCGGGAAAAGAGGGAGAGAGAAGGGGAGTGAGGACAGGGACGGAGAATGGGGAAAGGGTCGGGGATGGTGAAAGGGGTCGGGGAAGGGGATCGGGGATGGAGAGGGGCAAGGAGAGGGGATGGGGAACGGGAACGGGAAAAAGGGTCGGGAAGGGGGAATTGGGGAGGGAGGAAGGGGGACGAGGAAAGAGGGAAGGCAAGGGAAGAACGAAACAGGCACGGGAAAAGAGAGAGATAGGGAGTGAGGACGGGGAAACGGGGATGGAGAATGGGAAAAGGGTCGGGGATGGTGAAAGGGTCGGGGAAGGGAAACGGGGAAAGGGTCAGGAGGATGGAGAAGTGGAAAGGACGGGAAGAGTGAGGACGGGGAAAGGGTCAGGATGGGGGGGAAGGGGAAAGGACGGGAAAAGTGAGACGGGGAAAGGGAGTCAGGCCGGGGAAGAGGATCGGGAAGGGAGAACGGGGATGGGAAGCGTCAGGAAGGGGGAAAGGGGCCGAGAAGCAGGACAGGAACAGGGTCAGGCACAG